TTTTTTTCATTTTTCTAAGTGATCATTATGAATAGTTTTTTTCCCAACCATCCTCTTTGTGAGTATTCTTGAATTTGTATAGCATATTTTCTTTCAAATTTTAATAAGTGTTTTTAATTTTTATTTATTTTTTACGCCTAAAATTGTACAGCAATCTCTCGCATAGTTTATGTTAAAATTAAGCAACTCTGTAACGTTCATTAATCCGAGCATCTCTCGGTCATCAAAGTGCCAGCAATCAAGCTTTACGCCGGCAATATTACTTCAATAAGAAAACTTCAGCTAGAACTCAGTTAATAACGGCGATAACAAGCTTGATATGAGCGCCTCAATATCCAGCGACATTTTATCAGCCGTATAACTCGGAGGAAAATTGAGCTAAAATTTTGTTTTAATTTAAAACCTATAATTAATTTTTAATCTCATGAAAAACATCGATTTTTCCGCGGCATGGTTTTTTCGTTTAAACATCGCTACCATGATAAATTTTTCATTAGAACTCACCATGTGTCATTATATTATTTTATATCCACTCAGTTTAATACAATATCAGCGAATATTGCGTCAAGACGTGAAGGTTCATCGCGACTAATAATATAAATAGCATACACAAATAATTGTATTTGCAAGCACAAAAAAGACAACATGGGTTTAAGCGTGCGGGTTTAAGCACGCATTGAAATTAAATATTATGTCAAAAGCCATCCAGAAATCTTTTAAATTTTCAAAGACAAGTCTAAGATGCCTGGAAGTGTTCAGTCATTAAATCATTAAGTATCATGGTCATGCTGCCAGACAACCTGATTTTTTCAAAAGTCCTTTCCTCACTGACTGGCTTCAAATGGGATATAGTATGATTCTAGCTTACTCTTTAGTTTCCACTTCACCGCGTTGAGCACTCGTGACAACGCTTGATAATGAACAAATTAGTAGCGGATTGCTATCGCGTTTAAACCATCACTTTACAGATTGTAAGCTGCGTCAGCTGCTTCATAGTGCTTGCTTGTCAGAAATTTTAAGCAAATCAAATAAGATGTTTTTATCTAGCATTTGAATTGATGTAATGTGTGAAGCAAGCGACAGGTAATTGTAATCGCACTATAGCATATTCTCGGTATGCAGGTGGAGAGTGCATTGCCTTGCAACATTTGAGAAGCTCTCACATTTTTCTACGTGTCCTGCTTCTCAGGGACAATTATTCAGTTATAATTTGCACGCAATCATATTGTCGCATGTGAACGTAAAGCCAAGAGTTTATTGTTCATTTCATTAATTGTTCATTTCATTCATTAATCATTTGTTGATTGTGCAAATAGTTCACTAAATGACGTTCGATCATAGTAACAATAATATATCATTATTTTTTTCATTTTTAAAAGAAAACATATCTCTGCAAATTCGGATGCATTCACTTAAATTTTATCAAGGACATTGTGCAGCCGTTGTTGTGCAACTTGAGAGCAATTGAACATGAAAGCATTCATGCTAATAGTTTTATAGTTTCGCATCACTTTCAAAGGCTGCTGCGTCGTAACATTTTAAAATAATTTCCTCAGTTGATCTATCTCTAGCAAAATTTTTATCTTGCGTTCGTGCTTGAGAAAAACTCGAAAGCAAACTGGAGGACATAATTACGGAGCGTCGCTGCTGCACAAAAGGGTCGAAGGTCGACTTCGTTTTGCGACTTCCTTCAAAAAGCTAGCGAGGAGAAAGTATTTTTCGGTCGAGTGGAAGGACAGTTTTGGAACCTTTTGGAGGACGGGTTACATAATGGGAGCCGCTGCTGTGGTGCCGGGCAAGTGAGAGTCTTGTGCAATCTGTCGAAAGTCTTCAGTAGACTACAGCTGGCCATGCAATGGCCTTCGATTTACTGCCTATGAAGGTAAAGAGAGATAAACTGTCTTTCTTCTAACGGGTTTTACAGAGGAATCAAAGGCCTAGGGTTATTTATTATTTATAGAATTAAAAAAACTAAAACTTCAATTTTTTTGTTTTAGACGATAAAAATTTGGTGTTTGATTGATTTTTTTCTGGAAAAAAGTTTTAGTTTTATGTACCTAACGCTGCTCTACTCACTACAGTGAATCAAATCTACAGTTATTCCTCCGTTATTATACGGGTGTGAACATAACCAAAATCCTGATCAAATTCTCCTGTACTCCAAGCCACGTTAAACCATTACCACACACTGCGCAGTATTCGGTGCGTGATGTTCCACTACCAAGGCAATGTTGGCGCAGTGAATTAATGTAGCATAGCACCAGAATACGTGACTTGGGCGCTATCCGGGCTTACATTGCTACCAGAATTCTGCCGTGAATGACCGCAACTCGCAGTCTATAGGAATTTATGTGTCATGGATATTCACCACTGGAACCCCTTAAATTTATCACAAACTTACAAGGTATTTTTGAGGCTGACAATTAGTTGAATCGGAAATTTCATGAATGAGCATGAAACTTACACAAAATTTTAAACTTATCTTGGATGCAAAGCTATATTCTTTTTTCTTTGCTATTTATTGCTTTCAAAATTGCTGGCTGAAATTAGAAATGGCGGAACTACAACACGGAAGCTAAGAACTCCAAGCGCACAAGAAGATTCCAAGTTCCGTAAAGTCTTGCTAACTATACGACATGATTGCTGCTTAAAAAACTTACTAGCAACGCGGGACTCCAAAGTTAGGCTAAAAAGCTCAGCAGAAGTTGACTGCCTTACAGCAGCAACGTACAATTGACCCACGCCGAACACCCCGCACTGCTGTGCTGTCAGTTGAGTAACTCTGAAAACCTAGCGTTTGAAGGGAAAATGAATCGTGGAGTTAAATGTTGTGTGTTTGATTTGGAAACATAGAAAAATTTTCATTTTATCAGGAAGTCGGATGATGAATAATGCACTCATTCAGTAATTATCGACATCCTAAGGATAGATATACATACATCCATATATAGCTTATTAAACGTTTTAGATAATCTTGTTCTTATTTTAATACACACATAGTGGAGTAAAAGCGTCATCTTCACTCAAGCTGCAAAACTTTTTAATTTATTCTTCTCCTGCGTCGGTGGGACGAATCTCATGACAAGCTGGCACGACAGGCGTCGTAAACAATAAAGAAGAAAATTACATTGGATTAAGCATATAACACCTCTCTTTTAATAAACAATGCATTTCAGAGGCGGGATTCCGCTGGCAGTGAAAATCATTCCATGCCAAGCTGCACAAACAATCAAATTAAAAAAATAATAATTAATATTAAAGCTGAAGTATCACTCGTTCAAATAAAAAGTCTTAACGAGCCTTCGAAATAATTAGTGAAGTAAGAATAAGTCAGAGACGAATTGTCTCTGACTTATTCTTATGTCTCTCTTATCTTATGTCTCTCTTATTGTCTCTGGTCTCATCAGTAAGAGACGAATTGTCTAATTGGCGGTTATTCTAGAGAAAAAGTCTCAAATGTATTTTCAGTGCCCATCATTTTCTCCCAGAAATGCTAATTGTGCGGCATTAGCGTATTCAAAGTTTGCCGTTCTTAGGAGAAGCTTCGAAGCAATATTTGTATCTGCCAGTAAGATACTGCACTTTTCTTAGAGCATCCAGGCTCGTGATGAATAATCGTAGTTTTTAATATTGAATTGATTCTAATTCAATTTTATTTTGAGTAAAAAAATTCTTTAAATAGAGTTTGAGATGAGTTTGTGCTTGATCCATCTGCTTTTGATGTAATTGCCATAAATGGAAGTAAATGTTCCCGGCGCGATTAATTGCCTATAAACAACTTTAATTTTCGTGGAGAAATTTTCATAGCCATTATTTGATTATAAATAATGTAGTTCCGTGTTGGAAGACTACGGCTGCTCTTGCAACGGTCGAATTTAGTTTTCATTTGAACTTAACCTGGCAGCTCTTGAGTCGTTCAAAGTTAAATTATACTTTATTTTTCTGACATAAGCCTCGATCGCTTGCTGATTTCTAGGTCGCCCTCGGCGATAGAACTCAGAAAAAAAATCCTAAAACCCAGAGAAATTTGTGTTACTTTTTCCTAATGAACCTTCAATTAATGGTAGCCTGCATGCGGCGAGTCACGGAAAATTTTGTCAGCTTCTGTGACATTTGCTGCTTCAGTGTCGGTGTTTCGTCGCTGTTTAAAGACGGAACTATTATTTTAAGTTTTTTGAACGATTTACATAACTGTCTCATTCGTTCATATCTTTTTTAACGTCTCATTTCTTGCTCACCTTCGAACTTATCCGTAGTTCCAACGTTTGGAAAGCGCCCTCGAAGTTTTGGACCTGATGTCACAATAATCTCTTCGTAGAATGAATAAAATAAATAAAAAAAGAAATATATTTATGTTATAATTCATATTTGACATATTCATTTCCAGGAATTATGAAAATTTTGCTTCTGTTTACAGTAATTAGAGAACTGTGAAGGTCTGCACCAATACAGAGTTTATACTTTTGAGCACGGGAAATTTTTGAAAGGAAGGCACGACACCAAATGCATTATAAACAAAACTAGTACAATACAGACGGGTTCAACATACTACAGTACAGCGCAGTGGAGTATTGTGCAGTGCAGTGCAGTAAGCACAGTACAATATAGCGGCGTCGACACTTAACAGTAAATTAACGTTCTTCACTTGTTAACAGAAGGTCTAAAAACCGGTCCTTTGACCAGATCTATCGAAAACCAACAGCGAAGCTAAAAAGCTACTGAACTCTTAACATGTCAGAGGGCGGGATCCACATCTAGCCTGAGCATATGCTGCTACATAATCTCTACATACGTATTTTGTTTAAAAAAATGACTTTACTATCAGCGTTGTACTTATTTATAATCAATACACGATGTTCAGACATGCGATTTATCCAACGCCAACCCATGAAATGAATAACCTCAAAGATTGGAATTCAAAAATAAAAGTTCATAATTCATACAAATAATAATAATTCACACATGCAACAGACACGGGCGTTCTGAAAATGATTACTTACCTTCTACAGTACTGTTTGCTCAGCCAAGAATTTTGTTAAACGTTCTTTAAAATCTTCGAAATCGAAAAACAACTTCAAAGTTAAAAATTTCGCCAACTAACGAAACTTTCTATGATGTTTAGCTCGTTCCATGCTCACTAAAACGCTCGTTAATCCAATCAAGAACTAAATCGGCAGCAATTGAGGTGGCATTTTACCCTCCATCCCTCGCTCAACACTATTAGTATCAGCAGAGTTTCTATTTAATAACATTTATTTTGACATTAAAACACTCGGTCTTCCGGCTGTGGCCTTTCGCATAGCCAGCTTAGCATCGCATTAAGTCTGCTTCAGTTCCCTGACTTTATTATAACAGCGAAACATAAGATGTTTATAAAAAAATTCAACTTTAGGAAAACTGATTTTAACGATACAAACGGAAAATGTTTTTAAAGTGACATCGAACCTAAACACAAACTCTGTTACTAAGTCACTGGTATCTGACAGTATTTAATGAACAAGACCAAATGTATTTTAGAGTGGGTATATATGTAACTTTAAAAAGCACCCAACATATAGTCTATATTTTTCAGTTTTATAACTGAAAATTAGGAGAAACTTTAATTGAACATTAACAGAAAAACACGTTGGCTGAGCGAGAGCTAGAGGGACGTCTCGCGATCGGGAGCGTGCTATATAACCTCCCAAACTCGCGGCTCAGCGCGCACTGATAGCGTGGCTGGACGCCTTGGAATTTATATGGCCTGCTGCAAACCAAATGGAAATGCTGCACGTCAAGTATAAATGATGTAATCCACACGACATATTTGTAACTCACACGGGACTGATGCACGTCACACGGTAGGTCCAAGTTACTATTTTCTGTATCTAAAGCTGTCAACTCAAATCACATTTAGGTTTTGAACATGAATGATCAGTTGAAATTATATTGTGTTCACACTTCAAAGCAATATTTGATTAATAACGACAGGCTGCGCTTCAAATGTTGACCCGTTTCAAAACTGGACTCGAAAAATCGGAGTCCGAAATTTCGAAAATTTGGGCATTTTGGGTCGTTTGCTTGGCCTGGCCAGGCAAATTCTATAACGAGATTTGTGCGGGCAATTAACAAACTGAAAAGATTTCCTCGCTTAAAACGAAATCTAAACCTTTGGATTTAATTAAATGAATTTAAGTCACTAACTATTCAGTTACCAAAAAATCGAATGCTCCTTTCTTCCATTAAAACTCCTTTGATTCTCCGGCGAAACAGTAGGTACATGAGGTCATTGAGCGGTTAAAGGTTTTTTTTTTTTGCCAAGGAAAATTTTTTTTGTCAAAATATTTGTTTTGTCAACACGCCTCATTTTGAAGTGCAGGCAATTGAGTTTCATGGAACGGCCCTGGTGTGGTATTTATGAATTTTTTTATTTATGAGTTAAATCCGTAATAATTTGACGAATATCAAAGAAAATAGTCGCTAGAATTCTTTGGAATGTTTGTCTTCCCGAATTTCTTTTGAAGCTGTCTGATGCGAGTAGACTTGCATCAGTTATGACAAAGTTACCCCTTGATGAAACATCCGTGCAATACCTGCCTCCATCTAACTAACTAACATTGTGTTATCTGTCGTGATGCCTGATGTTCAATGGCCCGATGTCTGCACGGACCCTGTTCAGGGGCCGCCCGATGCCTACACGGACCCGTTCACTAGCTCGATGCCTACACGGGCCCTGTTCAGTAGCCCGATGCCTACACGGGCCCTGTTCAGTAGCCCGACGCTTACACGGGCTCTGTTCATTGGCCCGATGCCTACACGGGCCCTGTTCAGGAGCCCGATGCCTACACGGGCCCGATGTTCTATGGCCCGATGCCCGCATTGACCCTGTTCAAAGACCCGATGCCTAGATGGTCCCTAGCTTTTCGGTGGCTCGACGGTCATCGTTGTTCAATTAAACAATATACAAGCTACACCACAACCTCAATAAAATAAAATTAAAGCTGCACCCAAACTCAATAAAATAAAAGCTACACCATAAACTCAATAAAAATAAAGTAAAAGCTACACCACAAACTCAATAAAAAGTAAATAAAAGCTACACCACAAAATCAATAAAAAATAAATAAAAGCTGCACCCAAACTCAATAAAATAAAATAAAAGCTGCACCCAAACTCAATAAAATAAAATAAAAGCTATTTTTTATTAACTCCAAACTAATTTTCTGCATTTATCTGTGTTCTAGATTTATCGAACTGACGATGGAGCTGGTCTCCGAAACGTTTTCAAAAGAGATATGCTAAATTTTTGTGGTGTTTTCTTCGCTTTTAAATTAACAGTAGGGTTTCTTCATCGTCTGTTTCTACTCAAATAATTAGAAGCAGTAGGATCTGTTTCTACTCATTTCAAATCATTACCTCATATTCACTAGAAACGAACAATATAATCTACAGAGACGGCAGCACAATGACGCAACCAGGATTTAAATTAACCCCAAAATTTAAGCAATTTCGAGATTTCAGAAGTAAATTTTGATGTACTGCTGGATTTAATAATAGGAAAATTATGTTAAAATTAATCAAAAGCAAATTTATGGAATTTTGAAAAAATAAGAGAATAATTGCTGCATTAAATTGTTAGAGAATTCGCTCGCACATCAACGTAGAGTTGAATTTGTCACATCTATTTTAAGTGTGAAGAGTAAATTAAAAAAATTTGATGTCAAATTTCGAATTAATTGGAATAACAAATTTTAACTGCATATGTATGCGCTACCAAGTCGCAGCGTAAGCGCGAGAGAAAACAAAGCGATTCATAAGTAAAGCTCTCAATAAAAAAGTAAAGAAATGTTTCTGTTGTGCAGGACATGATATTGTTCTCCTAAATACAGGCCCGGGTAAGGCAGACACACAAAAAAAAAATAAAAAAAAAATTTAAACTCACACTCATTCCTAAACAAAAGCATATGGCACACATATTGTCTTCTCAAGCAATATCAAGAAATTATCAACTGGAAAAATCGAACGATCATAAAACTCTTCTCAAAATAACGGGTCAGTTTAAAACTTATCTTAAATTAACTGCCTCATTTTCGATCAAATTACCGCCCCTGAGGCGGTAATTTGATCGGTAATTTCCTAAGCTCGTAAACATGCTACGGCCGTCGTCCTCAGTTACATGGAAAACTCTTCTAAATTACCAGGCGAGACGTCGCACCAAGTATGCTCATAAGGTCCCGTCTCAGCTTTAATTTACGCCTAACTTGCCCGAATAATTTATTGTCAAGGAAGTTTTTTATTGGCAAACTCTTGTATTGGCCCAAAGAGTTTAAAAAATATATGGATGGCTCTCACAGTCGTGCGCTCGAGGAGTTTCATTACAGTGCGCGGCCTCATTAGGCTGGGGAGAATGATGGGAATAAAATTTAATTGAACAAACAGTTTTCTTTTCACATCCAATACAATTGGTACGACAGTTTTATTGCCGCATGCAATAACACTAGTTTTAGATGTGCAAATGAGTTCATTGGGGGCAATCAGTTTTTTAACCCTCTAATTTTACTGAGATTGTCTACTTAGTCACACACCATGTTATTGGCACTGGCTAATTCACTTGGACAATGATTGCTTTTCCACGTCCAATTTCATTTAAAGAAGAGTTTCACTGACTCGTACAATTTTAATGACATAAGCTGTTTATTGACGCTGACATTTTCATTGTTGTCAACATTGTCAACAACTATACTTGCAGGGAATAATTTAACTCTGTACTCTGCATGTCAGGAAATTTTATTATTTTTTCAATGTGTCAAGCACTAAAAGAATATCTCAATACTCAATTTTTTCTAATGTTTAATAACAATGCTTGCGATCCATTTATTTCAAATTCATTGAGAATGGTTTGCTCTAGCGACGACCATTTGTGAGGGGAGAGGGAACATTGTTTGCAGCCACGCCCTCAATGTTGGCGTAGGGAAATTAGAAGGCCGCTGTTGGGTCATTGAGATGCAAACTCGAACTAAAGAAAAGGGGCGGAATATTTAAGAGGAAGCTGACAAGACAAAGTTCTCATGACTTACAAAACTCTCATTCTTGTCTCGGGCAAAGTCAGGCAAGTCTCGGCACAGTTAATCGCGCTTGCCACTTTTTGGATTCTTTGTGAGAGATTTGCCCGTCTCTGAAGATGGATTTCATTTTCTTAGAATTTTAGACTTTGAAAATATAACCAATGTCAAATAAATGCCTTAACAAACACGGATTAAATAAGATCAAATCAGTTTTATATTATTGATTCCGGAAAGACTTTAGATTAGAGTCGTAAAATTTACGCCTAATTTGAATATCATTAAAATCTTGTCATTTACATTTAATCTGATGAGATTTCTGTTTTGATCATGATTCAACACTTTCCAATCCTCAGAATCCAAGTTGGATTACTTATTTCTTCGGCGTCATGAAGAGGTCTAATAGTGTAATTAATACTTACTCAATTAGAACGAATATACCCGTACAAAAATAAAAAAACTGACTGTATCGTTGATGCCTGAACCTGAAATGGAGTATCACAATAAAAAATTCTTTTTTATAAAATCCTCGTATTCTACTAATTCTAATTACACAATCGCCCCAAAAAAATAAATCATCACTCGTAAAACCGTAGACTTTTCAGCTAAAATGCTCCACGCAGCATCGCCGTGCGTCCATGAGTAGGTGTGACTGAACATTTTTATATTCATTCTGGTCCTATTCTTTGATGAGCATTTTTACTGTAAGAGCGCTAATGTCGATGACTAGGCTTCTGAATTGATTTCTTACGGAATTTGGTATCCTTTCCAGTGTGTGACGCACACCAGTTTGGGGAAAAGAAAAACAAGTTTGAACGCATTATCTTTCCCAAACCCGTTCTACATTGTTTTGACTTTTTAAAGAGACTTTTTACTTATTCTATTAATCCACCGCTACTCATTAAGAGCCATGAAATTCTTTTCAGCAACGGATCCATCCGTGTTTTAGTACTATTTTCAGGTCAAAAAGTAACTGGTAGCAAGATTCGCTAATATTAATGAAGGCTTCAGTAAAGTACATAAGTGTAGGTTCACTATATTCAAAAATATTTATTCAGAAACATATGTGTTCTAATGAGAATGTTGTCTAGAGTTGCTGTATATTGAGGTGAGTCATTTGCAATGCATGATACTTATTTTAATGAGTAGTAGTTGAACCTTAAATTTGACCTGCTGCCTATTAGAAGATTTGTTGCCTCTTCTCACCTAAAGTCCGTTACCATGTCGAGACAATTTATAATATTCGTTCATAATGTCAAATGTTCGTTCACGATTTGTTCATTGTATATATGCCTGGCGTTAGTCGTACCGGGATATAAAAGTTACGCATGCGAAAGTAATTCATAAGACTGTTCTTATTGAATCCTGGCCATCCATGGGGGAATGTGGTGAATAGCATAATGTGCACACGATTATTAATTATACAAGCGAGACGATTATTTAAATTTAATGTAGCTAAATACGATGCACATGAAACAAAATTACTATATTCAAGAAATCGAAATTCGAAATTTAAATCCAAAAGTTCGCGTATCGGCCAGCTGTAACTTATTCTAAATTAGTGCGTGACGTCATGATGACGTCATAGAGTGCAGCGGCTGTGATTGGCAGGATTAATGGAAATATGTCTCCAATATTGGAAGAAACCGTGCACCAGCGACGCATAATGGAAACTTTCTGATGGAAGTCGCGAGGGTCACTTGACGTATAGTGACGTCTAATCGACGTAAAGGCGAATATTTGACAATGCAAGATACTCACGACGTATTGATTGGTTTGACGTAGTGACGAGCGTTTGACGTAGTGATATGTTTGTAATAGCAATGTGTTCACTTTAGTGATGTACGTTCGACGTAGTAAGCAATAGGTTCACTTAAGTGAGGTACGTTCGACGTAGTGATACGTTTGTAACAGCAATGTGTTCACTTTAGTTATGCACGTTCGACGTAGTGATACGTTTATAACAGCAATAGGTTCACTTAAGTGATGTACGTTCGACGTAGTGAGGATAGAACACTTACCATCGCTGGTAAGCGCCAAGACAAAATTAATTGACGGTCAAAGTTTGAACTTGCAAGGATTTTTGGCAATCGACGCTGCAAATCATCAATAAGAGTGAATTATTAGGCATGGCGCAGGCAACATTGTTAGCTCAATGCAAGTTGAATCTAGAAATATATGCTGGTTGCATTCAACGTGAGCAATCACTTGTACGCAATACAAGATCATACATAAATTTATCAAGAATTAAAAAGCAAAGAAAATAGCCACATAAGTACAAACAATTAGTATACTAAAATTACTTGTTTAAAGAATAAGTAAACTCAAATTACTTTTCAGTTAAGTAAACTAAAATTACTAATTGTTTGTACTTCTTTTTTTTAGGTTTCTAACTGACGATGGAGCTGGACTCCAGAACTTTTTCTCTTATAAAGAGAAGATGAACTTTTTAAATATTCTCTTTGCTTTTAAATTCCTGATAAATTTGTGATTTTAGCAATCAGATAATCTTACGGAAGCAGATTATCTACAACGCGAGTCGATGGTTCGTTTACGGCAGCGTGGGGGTGGATAGGAACAGCTTTCAAGTGGCGGTATCGGTTTCCGATCTTACCTTACCCGGAATACCTGCTCCTCTGCTTTGTTGTGCATCTCATGCAAAAAAATCGTAATCAGGCCCGCATTTTACATTAATTAGAATTAAAAAATATAACTCAGTACTCACTGCAGTGAGTGACAGAGAGCGCATTTTCTCGTCGACGAAAACTTGAGGTCACGGACAGACGGACGGACAGACGGACAGACGGACATGGCGAGCACAATAGTGCATTTTTTCTATAATGAGAAAATGCGCTAAAAAACAATACTATTTCTTTCTATTATTTTATACTTGGAAAGATTTCAGAAAAAAATAGCGACAGTTTCATTGAAAAAAAACGTAGGTGTGGATAAGCTCTCTTGTATGCGTAATAGAAGATCGAGCCCTGACTAAATTTTTTCGAAACTTTATGTTAAATAGAGATTGATTTTCATTTATTCGCATTTTCCGCAAGCGATCCATTTTCGTTGTTCTCAAGAACTTTATTTTACGAATAAAGAAAAATCGCTAGGATATCAGAATAATCTTCGTCTATTTTCTAAATATGATCCTTTGGTTTGGTTCTGTGCCGTGACCAGCATCAGAAAGTGACTTTGATTGTCAAGATAACATGAGCTGGCATCATAATTAATGGGGATCAGACCAGTAGTGCGAAACCCAACCCGTGTCTATATGACCAGCTTGTCAGAATTTCCAGAATTTTGAATTTTGGTAGTACGGCAAGGATCAGTTATTGCTATCCGTCTTATGCGGCAATTGCGGAGACAATTTCCGGGTCCACTTCACTGATTTCAATATTGCTAGATTTCACCCATGAAATCCAGTAATATCCTCTCAATCTGTACAGGGTAATTGAACACAGGATTTCATTGCGCATGTAACCTGCGATGCAACATTTTATTGCGCAGTTGACTTCATCCTAGTATTCTACCGAAATATTGTGCGCAACAAAGCTCGTGCTGTAGCCATATGACACCATATTCCAGTGTAATACAACAATACAACGACCCTATATCACCTCCCTGTACATGGAACACATCAATTGCGATAATTTTCACACAGTAGGCGCAACAATGTCTCGCACAATACAATTAATTTGGTGTCTAACACACGCAGTAATGTACTGCATAGTGGCAGCAAAAACATGTCGTCAACAGACGTTGTAATACCACACACATGCTTACAATGACCTTATCTCTGTGTATTTATTGTGATGCACAATACATACAAAAACCCGACGCCTGTTGCCGCCATAGTATCTTGCAAAACACACAGAATAATACCATGGCAATACTCAGTTATCAAAGCCATTTTTAGCACCGCGATCTGAATAGTAAGCGTCTGCTTTGATCCTCTGGTGGAGCGAGCTTTTAATCTTGCGAGCCCATGTAAAAAAAATTCTTCCCCGACCTGATGGATTGGACAAGTTAATTAGGAAGCTTCCAGTATTTTTCCTAACGTCGAGTCTCTGGCTTATGGTATTTTAACTGAAGCTGAAAATATTGTACTAGTCGGAATAGTAATTCTAAGGAAAATGCATCAAATTTGATTGAATGGTAACTTTCTATCGCCGAATATATCAAACTGGACGAAAATGTTTTCTCTGAAGTTTGAAGTATAACTGGGTCGAACTGTATTTTCGATTGAGCTGAATGTATTTAACTGAGCCGAGTTATTTTTACAGGCTGTTTTTGCGATGAATTTGGTTCACAATAAGACAATTTTCGATTCAGACTTTTTCTGTGCCTCATTCAGTATGCGATGAAAATCTTGTGAAGATGAAATTTATCGATTGACTATTTAGTTTGTGATTTGCTAATGCTGAGGCACTTAGTTGTCCGCAACTTGGACTTCCTAAACCTTGCTCTGAGCTCCTTACATCAACATCACGATTTCCTCTCCATTCTATCATTAAACATGTTTAATTAAATAAATCATTTAATCAGACGTAGTTCTCGTGAGAGAATATAGTTTCAACAGATCGTGGGGATTAAAGTGTTTATTCATAAGTTTTACGTCAAAAATTCAGCTGGAAATACATACTCAGAATGAGATGTGCGCAGTGCACACGCAGCTGCTACTTAATCGCAGTATTGAGTAGGAATTTCTTATGCTTAACAGTTGAACGAAACTAAAGTACAATTAAACGTCAAATCAGGGACCAACTCTTTTCGGTCACCAGCTCACTCTGCGCATTTCATTCGTATTTTTTCGTCAATTTTAATTCATTGAAATTGGCTGTATCTTGACGCGTAATTAAAAATTAGCTAGTGCTTTATAATATAGAAGACTCGATTTTTCATATTCTTCTCTTTAAATAATTCATATTATCACAAACCATGCCATGGTAACGCTACTACCGTGTCGTCCGCTATTGCGATCCTCACGCTCTGAAAATCTTTACGAGTTTTCATTACGTAGCGCCAGAGCAAATTCAAGTCTCTCCTGCAATAACAATGGCTTTAAGCACCTAGAAATCGACACTAGAAGCGCGAAAAAATAACGTTGGAATCCTTTAACTGGAAATTAGACGATGCTGGCGGCTTGAACAGAAAATGTTGGAAGAATTTGGTTCTCAGTTTAGCGCCTGCAGTAAACCGAGCTTTGTTGCCGACGCTTACTGAAGTTGAAGCAGTTGTCGGATATTTAATACTTCGAATGATCACTTCTATATTCTCAATTTCTTCTTCTTTCTCTAAAAGAAAAAAAAATTAATCTTTATTGGAAGAGAAAAAACTTGAATGCGACAGAGGAGAGTGAGATTATTGATGGGCGATATTTGTAAGTAAAATCTCTGCAGCAAGGAAACCAATCCCGGGAAATGTTTTGCTTCAAGCACGAGAGTAGCACTCCTATCAGTTTAGGTTATCTTAGCGGATATTGACTGATGCAAGACCAGTCGTGACCACTCATGTCAACAAGCCCATAACACTGCAATGTGGCACCGTATCTCCTCTGCTACTAATGTCAACAAGCCCATAACCTGTCTCTTATACACATCTAGATGTGTATAAGAGACAGNGCTGCTCCGATTTCATCAATTTCCCTCGTCAGCACCGCTGCTCCGATTTCATCAATTTCCCTCGTCAGCACCGCTGCTCCGATTTCATCAATTTCCCTCGTCAGCACCGCTGCTCCGATTTCATCAATTTCCCTCGTCAGCACCGCTGCTCCGATTTCATCAATTTCCCTCGTCAGCACCGCTGCTCCGATTTCATCAATTTCCCTCGTCAGCACCGCTGCTCCGATTTCATCAATTTCCCTCGTCAGCACCGCTGCTCAGATGCGTTCAACATCAGAAGTGAAGAGCAGCAGACAGCGAGGCTCCAATCGGCTAGTGGAGGAAGATATCCACGCTGCACACAGATTGAAAATTCAGCGCCGGAAATATTGATTGAATTGATTTTTGGCCGATGCATCGCAGCCTAGTATTACAATAGTTAAACAGTTAAACTACTGCGCATTTTTGAACCAACAGTTGACCGCAAAATTCATTTAAATCTTCACTACATGGAGTAAAGAACGATATCGCCAAATACTTACTCCATAGTTCGTTACTTTTTGAATTAAAAATTCCTTTCATATTTTACCAGCTCTCGCGGTTTGTTTTCCGTGAGAGCAAACACTTTTTAAGCGTCTCAGAGTATCGACGTCATTTTGACAGCTTGACATAGTCATTTTTTATCGATTTAGGAAGCAGCCTTCTTTCATTTATTTCTGTTTGGCCTCAGTTATACCAGGCATTGAGCACCAAGCTATCGTCATGGACAATCTCATTCCAAATATTTATTCATTGCAAAGGTCTTCCTTAACAATTTTATTTTATTAATTTTATCTTCTATCTACTATTTTATCTGTTTTTAGACTTTATTTCAGTAAAAAAAAACAATATCATTAAGTATAGTTTATTTGTAACATAAACAAAATAGAGGCTCAGGTAATCTAAAGCTGTGTCACGCTTACTAAGCGGCGGTAGCCGCCACATTCTCTCATTCGCCAGAATTTAAACGGTGAATTTATTTATTGCACGTGGTTGCCATCGGTAGAGAAATAAACCTGGGTTAATGTAAGTAAAATTATAGTAAAATTTTACTCTGTCGTGGTAAGTGATGAAATTTGATTTTTCATCTTTCCTCCATTAAAAATCATTTAAAAAACCATTGTCCATTAAAAACATACAAGCATTCGATTCATTTTTAGTGTTTAAATCTAAGATGTCAACAATCTCAGTCACTCTCAGTTAACAGAGAATGTTCGCCTAATGAACTTTTTTGGAATACGCACTAATGCTCGGTGATGAGCGACAATTCGGACCTCAGAGCTACACGTAACATTCATTATATTTACATTTAAAATAAAAATGCCACCAAAAAATCGCAGCGTTGCACCGAGATTCGACTTAAGTCACTAGTAAGCAGTACCCGAAAACTACACTCAACATAACTACCTGACACTAACGCTTGCCAAAACAAAACAATCTACCTCGCAGTTTTACAACGATCTTTCCAATCCTTAATTGAACAATCGTTAAAAACGTCAAACATATTAACCACTATTGCTTGCAAAAAGATCGGAACTTTCTTGCTTCCCAAAACAGTCAATATGATAACGAAAGGTTACAATGGCCGAAATTTGAGCGAAATCGAAATTTTTATAACCTACCTTATCAACACATCATGATTATTCACTTCCATTACGTAAATTCTTCTTAAAATTTGCACGTGATTACCAATCCACTTGCTCGTGAAGGATTCAAGACGCTCCTACGGAAAATTATTTGTCTACAAGCAAATCTATACAACACAGACACAAGCGATAATAGAATTTACATAATAATTCAAAGCAAATGCATGTGGCCCAGAAATAACTCTAGCGCCAGCTGAGCAATGACAGCAGAGAACCCATTGGGATTGATGTACGAAGTGAAGATGACAGTAGAAATGCTTTGCTGAATAAGAAATGCGTGAAGTGATGTACAAGTGGAGCACATATCATAAAGCTAGTTTATTAGGACACGAAGTTAGACTAGGAAACTATCAGAGGAACATTTGCGGATCACCCAACCGACGAAAACTGTGAGTAAATAGAGTAAATATTGTATAAAACCCTTTATTTCTAAACCTATAGAGAAGCACCGACTTGTGATATACGTATGCACTATTTCTTCAGAAATACGCATTTGAATAAAATTTAGTCAATAATCATAGCCCACGACACATCTCAAAGAAATGCTGAAGTACCCCAAAACTGCATTATGTTAGTAACCAGAAAACCAGCTATATTGACAGTCAAGTGTCTCGCCAAAGTTTCAGATAAAAAGTGATAATTTTTCTCAGAGTTCAGTGCCGAGCCACGAAACGACCTCGAGGTGCACCCTCTGTCCCGCCTGCTTCAGCAGCCCTACGGCCGTCGCGTGTGAGACGTTCTCCAGCGAGTAATTGTCAACGGCCAAAATACGGTCACCGCAGCGCAGCTTGCCGTCCACGGCCGCTGGCGACGATGCTACCACCAGTAACACGTGGATCGGTTCTGATCCTCTGTTTGGATCAGATCCTCCTACGATGCTGAAACCCAGTGACGATCCAGGCGATCTTTGGAGGACGACACTGCGCGAGATCTGCAGGGGGCGAGGCAGCTTCTGCCAGTACAGCCACGACGGCACGAAATTCGCCGATGAGGAGTTTGAGGTCTCGGGACCATCGAGCAGGGATAAGGTGACACCCGCCAGCTCCGCCGTGGCTTTGAGCAGAGCCACCGCCTGGCCGTGCGTCAGGCCGAGAAGCGATTGTCCGTTCACGGAGAGCAGCACGTCACCTTTCTGTCAGCCAGAATTAATGTGAACATAATTATTCACTCGTTACTTTCTTGGATATATATTCAAGACGTAAAATAATTTTCTCTATAATAGATGTGTATTTTTTAAATTCATGCTATTTGTTACAGGAAAACATGTCTACAATTAAAAACATGAATGCAACAAATTGTCCATATAGAGAGACACTTTCTTGCCCAAAGCGCAAGAAGAGAGAACAGTTGCACTGACACACTTTTTTGCCCTCCAAAAACTAGGTCAGAATAATCAAAATTATAACAAAAAGTTGACCGCTATTTAGACCATGACCCTATCATTTGTAAGACAGGGTCGGTCATAGAAATTCATTTCAGTCAGTGTTGTGGAGGCAACAGCGCAGTATTCAAGGCATCTAATATATTCTCCAATAAATAGTTTCACGAGGTGAAACATACCTTGACGTTGTTTGTTTTGCCCACGGGTCCGTGCGCGTTGATATTTGCGATGTAGATAGGCGTGTCGCCCTCATTGCTGGCCACCCCACCTCCTATCCGCATTCCCAGACTTTCGTTACTGGCCTGCGGAAGATTCGTAGAATAAACGGTAAATAACTGGAATGTTTAGATAAGAACAGACGAATTTGTCAGTCTAAAATAACATCAATGAACATAAATTCACGCATGAACAATATCTTTACAGGCAAAAATATGCATGGAACGTGCGGAAATATTCAACCCGTGATATAAAAACCATAAAATCAAATGAGATCATAATTATCATCGATATAAAAATAAACTATATTTACTTTTGAAATTGTGACGGTTTTCTGCTGTAGCTGCGCTCCATCCAGCTTTAGCGACCTCCTGAACCCACACGCAAGATCTGTCAAGTCACTGGAATCTTTGGACCTTCGTCCTTTGAGTCTCGATGCTACTGGGCCATCGATGACATCCTGTTGACTCCGTGGAGACTCCACCAAGTCCTCCGTCTGCGTAGGATCAGTGACCAGAGGATCGTTGGAAGGAGTTCGTCCAAGAGGCAGACGAGATCTTGGAGGAAGCGCCGGTACCGAAAGATTGTCAGGACTCGGAGCGTCGATGGGAGCAGTTGTGTTGTTACCAGAAATGCTGCCGATGCTCTTGCCCAGAGGGGAGGAAATTGAACCAAGAGAATTGAGGCTTTGGTAAGCTTGGCTTTCAACTCCTCCGATTGATCCAATAGATCCGTTATCCTGTTTATATCGTAGTTGGCCTATTGCTGGTCCATTAGAGGTTGAAGTTAAGTTGTCAGGCTGGTTGCTGAGACTCTCACAAGAGCGAGAACCATCCTCAGGTAAAGTGCAACTATTCAAACAATCACTCATGTCGTCAGTGCTCCTATTAAAATCCTTGTTCGACCGGTCAAGTCGATCGTGCATGGGCTCTGGAGCAGACTTAGTCCTGGAATGGGAGACATCCACCGAGGAATAAGGTTGCTGGAACAGATGATCGTAGTTGCTGCCAGAAGAGTTGCAGCTCAAAACCAGGGAAACCGAAGTGGTGCCACTCCGCTGGATAAGCCTGGACGCAACGTCAAGTCTGGCGTAGCGGACATCATGGCCGTTGATAGCTAGAATTCGGTCATGAGGTTTCAAGCGACCATCCAAAGCGGCGACGGAACCGTACAATATCTCAAGAATGAATATTCCAGGCTGGTTGTGTCGACCACCGAGCTTGATGCCCAACTGGCGGCCGCTCTCCCTCCACAGCGTCACCACTTGGCACGTCTCGGCTGTCAACGGATCACAATTGACTAAACAAACACAAAATTAAAAATTTATTTCAATCACTGAATTTAAATTTATGCCAACTTTGCGTCGAAGATGGCGGTGCATTATCAAGACTTAAATTGAGATTTCATTTGTGCCCGATAATCGAAAAGTAGAGGTCGCTGTTAGTACAAACTTCTAATTTACAATATAAAAGCACTGAATGAGGCTGAATGTTCCCTAAGCCGAACAATTACCCAACAAATTTTGAAACCATAGTATACCCAATACCAAATTTTTAAAAGCCAGTAACCAATTCCCTGTAATTGGTTTCTTTACTTTCCCCGGTGTTTCGAGGCCTCGGTACTCACGGGTGGAATTTAAGCTGTTGTTGCTGGTAGTGATGCCTGTAGAAGGAGGAGCAGCTGCATTGCATGAAACAGCAGGGTACGCCTGTATCCTCTCCCTGTATACGCCGAGCCTGAGCGTGGGCTGCGTGAACTTCTTGAGCTCCTGGCAGACGAGCGCGTGCGTAGCTGACGTCATATCCACGCCGTCAACTTCGATGATCTGATCGCCTGACTGCAGGCGACCGTCTTGTGCGATCAGCCCGTCAGGGAAGACTTCTTGCACCACCACGCACCGCTGGTAGCAATAGCATTAGGGTGGTGGTGAATGATAATGGAAAAAATGCACTATTGTGCTCGCCATGTCCGTCTGTCTGTCTGTCTGTCCGTCCGTGACCTCAAGAAAATGCGCTCTCTGTCACTCACTGCAGTGAGTACCGAGTTATATTTTTTGTAAGGCTTCCTGCACCATCACGCACCGCTGGTAGCAATAGCAGCAACTAAGAAGCAACCACGCACCAACAACTAAGAAGCTATAATAAAGGATCCTTAGTATAGGACAATATTGGTTCAGTGAGAAATATTATAGCATTATAGTAAGCTACTGTGCACAACTGACAACTTAAATGACTTTCACTGTCCGTCGCCTACAGCTCTAAATTGAAAAGCATTAATCACCTCTCGACAAATTTTGATAAATCAATGGCTGATGACTATGATGTGATTATGAACATAAAAATGACGGCTATAATCTTGTGATAGCTTAAACATCTATGTAGAGATAATAACAGGTCCAATGCATCAAAATAAGGTTATAACTAACCAGTGGCGTATCCGCTCCCCCGACGATTGTGATGCCCAAGGCGATTTGTGAGCGGGAAATTTCAATGTGAGAAACTTCGCCCTCCACTATTGACGATTTTTCCCGTCCTGGAACACGGAAGAATCCATATTAAATATCAGCTCACAGATACCATTTCTCGAGTAATTTTAGAGTGAAGCCGTGATTTAGCGACACGACAATTGTTGTATGGTAGACGTCGAGTTTTATTTGCCACTACAGACGACAATTCACTCGATCCCCGTGTAAATTACGAAAACAATAATACAAGTTATGACAAGACAATACCCGCTCGAAAGCAAGGTAAATATAAGTGAAGAATATTATTCTACCTTTCATCAATAACTACATATCAAGCCCAAAAACAGCTCAAAAAATAAATAGAACACTACAGCGAATCAAAAAAGTCCTTATCACTGATATTCGAGTTACGTTGTCTTAAAGAGCAGCTTAGTGATAAATTCAATCACAATTGCTCGACATGATTTTAAGGTGGGAAGACTACTAATATTATTAACACAACTGAATGAAAAAAATACAATGATTTAATATTCCACCATTTATCCACCATTATCAAAACTAGTATATCAAATAATAATAATTTTTTGAATAATCAGAAAAAAATAGATTGGCAGATACGGTCACACATGCTAACACTTGATATAATACATTAACCGTCTTAGGTCCGGTACCTAAAGTTACCTTCTGTTGACATGAATATCATTCCCCATTTAAACATAAAAAATTCACACAAGAACACGGTACTAACCGCAGTCTTTGAAGTGACACACGGGCGCATGCGCAGCGATCTTCTTCTGTGGACCTCGTACGTCGCAGCCCGCGGCGGCATGCGGACAGCATACCCAGTTTCCGGGGCATCTGTGTCACAAACATTCTAAGTACAATTTCAAATTTCAACGGTGTGAAAATTTGCCTTCTAAAACGGATAATTTACTTAATTGCCTAAACATCGTTATGGTAGAAAATAGTTTCGCTTCTTTCGTTTTTTTTTTAATTCAAGTTTTTATTTCAAATGGAGGCTGTAATCAAATACAATGATTTTTTTCGAAAAAAGTGGGGAAAATTTATGAATCCATTTGTACGATTACCGCAATGAATTTTTCGTGGTTCAACAATAGTTCATGTCAAATTTACGGACGACCACAAAAATTTCTCAGCCCAAAATGACTAAAAAGTTGGAACTAATATTGTTCAGCCATTACTCAATCATTGCTTGCTCCATTACATTTTAGAAGCATCGTACAAAACAACCTCGTGCTTACCGGTACTTGAGATGGTCCTCCAGGTCACCACGCTGCAACGTCACTTCGCAGGAGCCGGTGTTTGGGCATCGTACGATCAGTTTCTCTAGTAACCTGGAAATTAATCAACTGTAGAAGTTCACATCTCTTTCAAATCTGAATGTCTCCCCTTCCTTTCCAATTAATTAATAACAAAACAAAATAAAAACTTTTTACCATGAGATCAATGTAGCTGATAACGTTTTCCCGTGATCATTATAATCGGCAATTTTCGTCCATCATTGTAATAGACAAGTCCTTTCACCTTCTAGTTCTGCGTCCAATTCCTGCCTGCAGCAGCAGCAGCAGCAGCGATATATCATTTAATGTAGTGTCAGGCATCATTAGCATACAAATGTAGTGCTAATATGAATAATTCATTTCCTCTTTGAAAGGAAAAGGCTAGAAAGTCGACTTCGGCATCATTTCTTCACATTATAAGTTTTGGAAATTCTTGTCGATATACCTTGGTATTTATTTCTGAGACGTATTTCTGCTTTTAAAATATTTATGCATTTATGTATCACATTTCTATTATGATTATTTCAGACTCTTTCACTTAAGAGATTCGATCACGTAATAAGTTTTGAATATTTAATAACAATTAATTTTTTGAGTTGAAGACAAGTACAACTGCCTATACCTCGCTCTGAACTTTTTGCGTCACAGTACAATGAATCGCTATGAACCGTCGCACTATGATTACCTTAAACATATTTAAAACGCAAGATGACTTTTGGAAGCATATCTCTAAATATTAGCTCACATTTTAAGAATAAATTACCAGGATTTGAGATCAAAACACTGACTTCCTGAGGACGAGAGAGGATGGCGTGCAGAGCTGGTGCGACATGGGCCGGCGGTCGACAGGACAGAGCGGCTGCACCCGTAGGTACGTCAGCAGACAAGGCTTGCAGAAGGTGTGGCCGCATGGCGTGTCCACGGGCGTCACCAGCGGCTGATCACGCAATAAAACGATCATCGATCAGAATAACTTGTTAGCAGAATGGTGAAGAATAATCAATACATCCTGTGAGCTGGGAAAATCATATGAATTCAACGATATGATGTTATGAGAAGTGGTTTAGTGCAAGCGATATGTTATCAGTCAAAAAAACTTAAATATGGAGCGAGCTTGCGGTCTCAAAAGAGTTCTTACGTCAAGCAGTTCATAAAATAAGTAGCTTTTGAAGAACGAAATCATTGGGACAATTTGCTATCACCTCACAAGTAATGATGGCAGCAATTGTTTATATTAAACTCATTCATTTCTGCAGCAAATTAAAGGCACAATTAATTAGTTTCACATAAAGTAGTGCTCATGTGTTACGTACGATCGTGTTGAAATAACGAAATGAGTTTGTAAGCGCTGTTGGTTTTGCGTAGATATCTCCAACTTTGCTCGCAAACTTTTGTTCTGCAATCAGAAGGGATTTGCCGAACCTGAGCTAAGTTTGTTCAGCTCCAGAAAGTTCACAATAACGCCTGCTCAAGTTGGGGTAGGATTTCGAGATATCCGGCATGTTGAGAAGTGGACTGAGAGGACAAAGGCCGGTAGTCTTAGTCAAACCTTGACATTGAAATTAATTTCGAAACTCAACCTCATCGTAATCTGGACGAATAAATATATTTTACTGAATTTACAAACCGCTTATCTTGTGGAAAATCGCACATAAAAGAGTAGAATTCCGCAACACTGTACACTGTAGAGTTTCAATGGGCATAGGATCCTGTAAATTTTCCAATTGTCAAAATGAAAAAAAAATTACTTAGGTCTATTTGTATTTAATACATCCTGTGGTACTAACATGTATTATATTAAAATTCACTCCCAATAAAGATATACTCGTAGTTTCAAAATAAGGCGTTATTGTAGCTACCATTCACAAGAACATTAAACTCGATAAAACTTCGAGGTGCTCAAAAACCGAAATATGAAACAACAAAAACTAAATAAAACATCAAATTAGGGGTAAAATAACGTTCTACACCAGAAAAATCATGAATAAGAGAGAAAGTTGGTCTTTAATTTGGAGCTGACAAGGTACATTTAGCTTATGTTAAAAAATTTTGTTTATTTCTCTCCAAGATTGGAAAACAAATTTGAGCCACACAGGAGGACATGCATTCCACACACCCACGCTCACTTTTTCAATTTTCGCCGTAACGGCATTTTAATTTTTCGTTCTCCACAAAATTTCTACCTGATAATGTCGGGAATTTTCCTCGAAATTCGTGAAGCGTATAATGGGTGCTTAGGTCTCTAATGGGACTAATTAAAGAACAATTCACTGGCCCAGCGAGGCAAGATTTACTGCCTAATGCCTGTTTACACGTACGCGACTGAAATAGAAGCATCTAAAATATTTAGATTTCTCTGGAGTTGGAGCGAGTGGGGCTACGGCGATGGCTTGCGCAGAGATTTGCTGCGTATTGAGGGTATTGAGGAAAAGACGGTTAATAACACGGGTATTGAGGAAAAGACGGTTAATAACACGGGTATTGAGGAAAAGACGGTTAATAAGCACGGGTATTGAGGAAAAGACGGTTAATATTCTAGCGTGCTTCAAGTAGGCATTTCAGCGTGCAAGTATGTTAAACTTATACGCTGAACGACGATCCAAGGAGATATACATACAAGTTGAATTGCGCCCGTACTTATGAACAAGCGTTGTTCAAGGGTATACAATGCCTGTTAGCAAAAACGATAACCATGAAATTATTATAAGTATTGACGCTGCCAACAAGGGAAATCACACGAAACAAATTACACGGGGATAAATGAATGGTGAGGTAAAGCTGACCAACATAAATGCATTGAGGAATTAAGAAAAGGCAACAGAAATCACTTCCTACTCAACATATCTGTACCACAACTAGGCTTAAGTGTCATGAACGATAACCCCGATTACAACTTCAATGAAGTTTATATACACAAATCCAACCCCAACTTTCTGCCCTCGGGAAAAATCGGATTATTATTTCCTATTTCATTTCTGGTTTTATATTAGCATCACATCACACTTGCTTTTAAATGACTTAGCAAACTCGTCCTCAGTGGCAGCGCAATACCCGATGGAGAATCGCTTGTAGCAATAGAAATTTCAAGCGTTCGTTCGGACGTCATCGCGAGCTTGATGATACACAGACCGCTGCTTCTACACTCACAAAAATAATTGAAACTTTACAAATAGAGATTCACTTTTTGTCCGTGTATTCCTGACCAAATTTGACCCGCTGGGAGAAATTGCGTATCAGAGCGTGGAGAGCTGCGTCCGCTCTATGCTCGCGCTGTGTGTAATCAAGGGTCACTATTCTGTCAATCCGACCCATTGATTTTATTGAGTGTAGACCCAGATCCTGCTCGTAAACAATTTAGGCCCGGTGTAAACACTAGCGACTAACGTCTGCCTCAACGATCTTGGCAAAAATTCTCTCCATAGCGAACTCGCAGCATTCAAATATTTGTGCGAAATTAGCAATAAATATAGTTTGGGATTTAGTGTGAAACATGGCACATTTCAAAGGCTCACCACAACTCTTCGTTGTTATCGTGTTTTTGTCGTATCATTTCAAGGGCATAGCTTCCACAAATTGACGATTATGTAACAACGCAGAGTTGAGAGCAGCAATGAATATGTTTGCTACAATAAACTGCTTTATGTTAAGTCTAGCAATTCATATCTTCAAATTGAAGATTGTATCTCTCCCATATTTATTCGTTCTCATTCATCTACGTTCGTTCTTTTTTTAGCAAAGCACTTGCTCCACGTACTGTCTAGAAATGTCGACTGCATCTAACAGTTTGAGGGCCAAATGAAGCTAGTCTTAATTTACATGATTTTATTATTGTAATTATTCTACGAAGAAGTTACCGTGGCGTCTGGTTCAAACGAACTTTGATGGTACGTTACATATAAGTTTAATAGGAAGCAAAAAATAAATAAATAGACACGAGAGAGGATGAGAACGGATAAACATGATTAAGTACTTGATTCATAGGCTCTACGAAATAGTTCCATCTCAATTTTATTTTAGAAAGAATGTTTATTAATTGGATTAACCACACAAAATCAAAGCCCTTCTCACGAACTTAGAGAATTTTAATTTGAACTCTTCGCCTCTCGAACTTTCCGCAGTCGAAGTTGGGTCAAGAGGTGACTTTACGATGCATGCCGGCAGCTTCGAGATGCGCGTTGTGATGGCAACTTAGGCTACCTACAACTTTGGTATCATCAATAATGCGCTACGTTAGCAGCTTACAAACTGCCTAAGTTCGAGGCTTGATCCTTTAAGAGCTTGGCAAAGTTGTCAAACTCGAGCAATAGTCCCTAAAAGCCAGACAGGTGGCTTGCATGCCGACCTGCAAATCCGACTACGGATAAAACATGCGTCTTAAAATCCAATTGCTGCGCACTCGAATACTCTGGCAACAGAATACGCTAAGTTTCAAAATTATACAAATTTTCACAAATACAACGGTAATCCAGGAGGTATAGTACATCAACAACATGATGTAGTACACTTAGGAATGACTAAACAGTAAGAATCATATGATAATATATTGTACCTGAAGGTCGATGTTGTACACTTTTTAAGGTATAATGTCAGGCTGATGTTGTACACCTGGCGGCTGATGCAGTACACTAAGGTATAAGTAAAGAGTAATAATCAAATGATAATATTATTGTACCTGGAGGCAGATATGACAGGAAACGTCCTCGTCGACCTCGTCAATGTAGTCGTAGAGATGTGGCTCGTTCGAGACGTGGAATTGTCCACACGTGCGACACACGCGACGTCGTGGCGTCTGACGTGCAGACGAGGAGCTCGGGCTGTACGGTGATGACGCAGTCGGAGATGACGATGAAGACGTCGGCGTTGCGACGTTAGATGTGTCGGTCATATTGTGCTTATTTTTTCACGCAGGCAGCAAAATCACGGGTAAGGTATTTTTTGCGTTTAAAAAAATAATTAACCCAGAAGTGAGGCGCGAATCAAAATTTGCATGCACGAGGATAAGAAGATGACTTCGTTTAGTTGGCGTCTATTATATCTGTGTTCCAATTTAAGCTTCCCTTCACTCGTCGATATCCAGAATGCAATGAAAGAGGATTTAGTACCAGCGGCAATTTATAAAACAATTGAAATTTGAATTTGACCCCGATGTTTGACGCTTATGTTGAAGTTGTAACGAAAAGCAGTGTACACTTAAAGACACTACATGGAATGGTGAAGAATGTTAATAAAACAAGTTTAGAATGAGAAGCAGCTTTTTAACTACACCAAGTGATCAAAGGGTGTATATGTGAAGGCCATGTTCATGTGTGTATAGGGGCAGAGCTCGCTGCTGTCAGAGCCCAACTGAGCGCTCATCAGGAAGCTCCCATCACTCCTGCACAAACATACAACCAAGATATCATTAGAAAAAAATTAAAACACGCAAACAAAACGTAAGATACCTGCACATGAAGTAAAAAAAATTTATAAATATTAACTGGAAATAATTCGGCTGCAGAATGCAACTTTCAATAAGATCCGTTTATAACTTTAAGGTGAAAATCTGTTGGCTATAATATACCTTCTCTGTTTAAGGATAGAGGATACAATAAAGCTTAAATTAATACATAAGTAGTTCTCTTACAAGTACAAGCATTCAATCATTAGAAGGCATTAAAAATCGTTACATTTAAAACATATTTTAGGAAAAACACATCTTTTGGAAGTAATGTACCATAATTTTTGTTATCCCGCTTAAATCTGATCACGATAAAATTCGAGACTGAAATAGAAAAGTTTAAAGAAAAGTTACTAAAATTTATGCCTGTTCGACATCATCATGAGAAAAACTGTACTCCAAGGCTAAATATAAGAGGCTTTTAAATTATTAAAGTCCTCAGCGGTGTCGCTCGATCTTTTCTGCAAGTTTGACAAGGTGATGTCGTTTGCCGCACCTTCGGGAATAAGTTCGATTCAACTTTAGCGACATTCGGCCTAAGAGCAAACAGACGATTGCTGGAGTTGGATGTTTTATTGAGGCCCATATAGCAAATTGGTTGTCAGTTATAAATGGATGCAAAAAATTTTTAATTCAAAACTTGAATTTATTTTTGCGATATATATCGTATTCCAGCCTTCAAACATTTGGGGAAACTGGTCAAAATTCATCACATTAATTTTGATGATAAAATACGTTATCACGCAGAGCTGTTCGTCTTCCGTCAATTATATTAATTTATTCAATTGATGAATGATATCACCAGTATCAGATTACTACCTAAATTTATTAATACAATTTTAATTAATTATGTGCTCGTGGCAAAATCGGCACCATTTAATTCCATCATCTTTATCCTCCGCCGGATTTTCCTATGCTTTTAAAAAACAAGAAACGAATAGCAAGGAACGAAATTAAAAATAATTCCCGAAATAGGCTTTTCAGAGGTCAAGCGTTGTGTTGCAAGAGCGCCAGGTATCCGTGATACTGAGAACTACTCCTCCCACTCAATGCGCTATAAACGGGCTTTTCGTGCTGCAGCTTGCGCAACTCTTCTCAAGAACAAGACATGAAAGAATTGTTAGAAGATTTATGTTATAAACATATTAGACACGTTCTATAACATAAACGTGTTGTTTATTGGCAAAATTTCTTATGTTGATAATTATTTCAATAATAGTCTCATCTGGTAACAGAAAGGCTGCTTTTTTAAACCAAGCTCAAAGATACGGAATGTTTTTTCATGAAAAAGTAACGCTGTAGCCGAAGGCTTTTATTAATAATAAATTACAGCTCATCGATTGGTGTACATCTCGAAAATCTGGATTCCCACCGTTTAAAATGGAGCCCCAAAAATACTCGAACCAAGCCGCTTGAAGCGCATTTACCCTTATTGTGATAGGAAAATTAAATGCAGTATTTCTTTGTTCTATTGCTCATTAGAAGTTCCACATACACGTTACAAAAAATACGGATTATACTGATGGCGAATAATCTGCGATAGCGTCGCGCTATTATAATATCATTCAGTAAAAGACCTTTTCTTCTACTCAAGTCTTGTGTAATGACATGGCGGGAATGTTAATGATTTAATTTTTAAGAAATGTAAGTAATATTAATTCAATATTAAAGTTAAGTAATAATATGTAACATCAATACTACCATATGAAAATTATTTCATCAATTCAAGTAGAAAAGTATTCCGTATTGTCCTGTAGATCAAATGCTCATCATATTGAAGTTTATTCACTGCTAAGACCTATTAAAAGACAAATGATTAGTCACTGCTCTATACCTTTTAAAAGACAAATAATTTTCTTCAATACCGACATGAATACGAAGAAGTTGAAGCCTAAATATCGCGCAGCCATCGTTGTTTTGCAACGGGCATTTCTCGGTATCAGCGACAAGACCGCGCGCAGGGATTCCCGCGTAACTAGGATACCCATCCTGCGTTTGGCTTCTCGTCTTTGTTAATGTAGAATTAATTATAATTCAGCACTTCATTCAGATGACAATAAACCCAGGCACGTCACTTTTCAAAACACGATGTATAGATAAACTTATAATATAGCGATTCTATAAATTGTGCCCAATTCCGAGATTGGGCGCGCGTATTTGGAATAACCTTTAAAAAAAACATATTTTTCAGATGCATCCTGCATCTGGCAGCCGCTGCCGATAAAAGGTTAAAAGGCTTGACAGGAGATTCAACTGCATCCCGTCTCAGTGCCACGCGCACCCTCGTTCAGGTACGTTCTTCACGCTCAGTTGGCAAAGGGACAAGTCATTATTGAATGCCGATATTACCGATCACATTCAAATAAACGAATGATTTGATTTCTCCAGTAATATATTATTACAGAACATATCTCACAGTATATTATTATAAATTATACTCAGTTTTTAAGTCGAGCTAAGAGGTTTAAATTGGACAGGATTAACCAAGCTTTTTAATAGATTTTCAATTTTTTGACAGCCGTTGTTGTGTCAATTTAATGTAATTAAATAAACGTTTTTTTAAGTTGTAGCTGAAGAAAAATCTAGAAAATTAATCAAATGCTAGTTATTATTTGAAAATTTTCAGAAATTTTCATCAGAATTCAATGCTGGGTTTCATATTAGAATAGTCTCTATGAATAAATTAATCATCTTCCTTAACCACTCATCCTTATGTTAAGGCAATAAAATTCACTGCCATTTTTCTCTTAGTTTACAGGATCATGATTAGCCGAACAGTGGCGAGGTCACTTCTTGTGGCTTTTGTGGCACAAAGTTTTCTTTGGTCACATGGCCACGCCGCTCCTGGAGTCAAAGGCGGGTACCGGCGCTACGTGCAGTCAACCACCACCACTGAAAAGCCCTACGATCACCGCCAGGAACAACAATCATCCTCGGGACAAAGCTCTCAGAATTCACTAGACTTGAAAGATGACGCGTCGGGCCAGTCGACTGTTCAGCAAACGTCTGGAGGATATCAAGGAAATTTGATCGGAAAAACTGACGAACAATCTTTCTCGCAAGGGCAGATCGAAAAGTTAACTGGTGAATCTGGATCTCCAGGACAAACGTACGCCTCACAGAGTGATATAGAAAAATTACTCGGCGTAGACAGTGAAGCGGAGTCTGGATCAGGATCTGGGCATTCTTCGAGTGGCCAAGGGTTGCACGTCGACTACGCCCTTCTAGGTGAAATCAACACTCTGGATGCAAATCACAACACGAACAGCGGTCTAGTACGTGAAGATCAACTATCACAGAGTTCCGGTCGTTTCGAAGATTCTACATTGGAAGTTCAAACTGGTCAACATAATCAGGTAACAGGTTCGCATTCACATGGTTCGCAAAGTGAGAAAGTAGCACATCATGGAACTGATCATAGTTCTCAGGGACAGATCGAAAAACATGTACAAAACCAGGCAAACTCACATGTAGCTCAAGGACAGATTGACAAGCTGGCCGTTCAAAATCAAGCTGAAGGCTACGGTTCACAGGGACAGATTGACAAGCTGGCCGTTCAAAATCAGGCTGAAGGCTACGGTTCACAGGGACAGATTGACAAGCTGGCCGTTCAAAATCAGGCGGAGAGCTACGGTTCACAAGGACAGATTGACAAACTGGCCGTTCAAAATCAGGCTGAAGGCTACGGTTCACAAGGACAGATTGAAAAATCGGCCGTTCAAAATCAGGCGGAGAGCTACGGTTCACAAGGACAGATTGACAAACTGACCGTTCAAAATCAAGCCGAAGGCTACGGTTCACAGGGACAGATTGACAAGCTGGCCGTTCAAAATCAGGCGGAAGGCTACGGTTCACAAGGACAGATTGACAAGCTTGCCGTTCAAAATCAAGCTGAAGGCTACGGTTCACAAGGACAGATTGACAAGCTCCGATCAAAATCAGGCTGAAGGCTACGGTTCACAGGGACAGATTGACAAGCTGGCCGTTCAAAATCAGGCTGAAGGCTACGGTTCACAGGGACAGATTGACAAGCTGGCCGTTCAAAATCAGGCGGAAGGCTACGGTTCACAAGGACAGATTGACAAGATAGCTGTTCAAAATCAGGCTGAAGGCTATGGTTCACAGGGACAGATTGACAAGCTGGCCGTTCAAAATCAGGCTGAAGGCTACGGTTCACAGGGACCGATTGACAAGCTGGCCGTTCAAAATCAGGCTGAAGGCTACGGTTCACAGGGACAGATTGACAAGCTAGCCGTTCAAAATCAGGCTGAAGGTTACGGTTCACGGGGTCAGATTGACAAACTGGGCGTACAAACTCAAGCTGAAGGCTACGGCTCGCAGGGAGAAATTGACAAGCTGAATGTCCAAAATCAAGCTTCTTTCGGATCGCAGGGACAAATTGGCAAATTTGGCGATGAAACAAAATTGGAGGGCAGTGAATCTCATGGTAGTTTTGGAAGCGGCATAGTTTCTGGAGGAAATGGAGGAGGAACCAGCGGTAGTGGAGGGACTAGTTCCATTGGTGGACAAGGCGGGGGATTTGTAGGAATAAATTCCTCCGGAACCCTGATTGGAATAGTCTCTGGTGCCACAAAGCCAAACTCTCATGGCTTTAGAGCTGATGGCCCAACTGATGCTCAGACGGCCAGTGGGATAAGCGGAGTTTCTTCTCAGCAATTTGGCGTTGGCTTCTCGGGATCTAATCCACCACTCATGTACTTCCCTGGCGAACAAAAGCCCAGCATTTTCAGCGGAGCTTCCCACAGTAGCTCAGCACACCAAAGTTCGTCTTCACAACAGAGCAGTAGTAGCTCATCTCAAAGCGGACACAGGTTTGTCGTGGGAGGAAATCGCTTTGGAAACTTGCACTCAGGTGGATTACTTGGGCTGTCCCAGGTGTCAAAACCCTCCTTGACATCTCTCGGAAACTTTGATAGCCTCGGAAGCGTAAGCGCAGTGCACCATAGTAGTTCATCCTCTTCTTCTTCATCGGCATCACAAAGCCATAACAGTGCATCCCATCACAGCACAAGTTATGGTTTCGGTCTTGGCAATACAAATAACAAAGACAAAAGTAAACCAGAGATTGGCCAACTCCAATTCAATCGTGAATACGTAGGGAATCCTGAATACCAACAGTCGCAAGGTGGCCTGCTCAAGTCAATCGGAAATAACAAGGAAGATGGTAAAGAGTACCAACAATCACAATTTGGTCAACTTCAATCACCGGCTGGAAGTGTTGATCAACAGCAACAATCTCAGTTTGGACAAATCGAGACAATCGGGAAACTACCATCACAGAATGCAGTTGGAATAGCCGGACACGAAGGAGGTTATCAGAATGAGGGAAGTGGGACGAACCACCACGAAAAGGCACCAAATCTGCCCGGCGGGAGCGGTCGAGATTATGGAGGAGGCGATTCGTCGTGGCGCCGAAGATGGAACTCGGTAAGTCGTCGAATTTTATTCTGATTGGGTAACAATAAACAAGTGTGCCTTCATCTCCATTGGGATCTCAAAAAATATGAAATGAAGTGGGTGATTGCCCTGCTCAGAGAATAAAATTCTTACTACTTTTTGTCCACAGTTCACGAGTTGGGGAGCAAACTTGGCCGACAAAGTCGCAGGTGGAGCCCGAGAGGTCAGTCCTACGTATTTATTAGCCAGAGTATTGTTATTATTTCATATATTATTTATTATATATTATTTATATATAAGTAGCTTCTTCAAACTATCGCCAGTCATGAAAAGATCCGGTCAAATGACACGAGTTTAGATCTATGAACAAGGCACGAAATGGAAAAGAATCGGCGACAGGCCACATCAGGCCTACACTTCAGAGCCGACATCACTATGTTATGTTATGTTATGTTATGTTATTAGATCTCTTAGAATTATTTTTAGATCAGTCCAATCCCCGCGAAAACTTGACTGCCCCAGAAGAAAACTAATTCTTAGTATTGCAGAAGATAGCATCGTCATTTACCTCTACGAATTACAAGAATATTGCAGTAATACAAAGATAAATTTTAAAACGCCGCTCAGTATCTTGTAGTTGAAGAATATACATCAAACTATGATAAATAGGTACTGTATTCAGCTGTTAATTATTGTCATAATTGATAGCTGATTTAAGCAACTTTTCTCACACTCGCCTGATATTCGCTTCGAACCTCACTGTTTTAGTTCGGAGGAGCGGTCGCCCACTCAGCGACGGGGCTGTGGAACAAGGCGGGAAACACTTTCCAAGGCGTGTGGTCGCGATTCAAGAACCTCCTCAAGGGCTTCAGCGACTCCATCCACAAAGGAGCGACGTACTGCGCGCATGTTCTTCAGGAGCGAGCGGACGATGTGAGTGCATTGTAAATGAAATGTAATAATAACACGCTCAACTACTCAGTATTTTACCAAATTACCATTGAAGTCTTTGGATCACATTTAGGAATTAAATTTTAGTAAAACCATGAAAGTTTCTGACTTTTCTTAGTAAATAATCAAAAACTATTCATCGATTAGCCTGTGTGACAGACAATAGTTCCGAACGAGCTACCAGCAGACTTTACATTAAAAATCCTGTCAATGTTTGCTTTTGACCTGCATAAGAGTGCTTTCTGGTCGTTGCAAACTGATCGTATATGGTAATGGTTTTGTTATAGTATAATTGGAGGTGCGCGCTGCCAAGGCAAGCCAACCCCAATTTTATGAAGATATAGGATCAAAGCTGAGTAAAAACAAAATTAATTCCGTTTAAGATATTCAATAGAAGTAACCACATAATGAAGTTCGTAAGCTGATTCTTAGGCTCCCAATTTTTTTAGCAGGTTCGCAGTTCGCAATTCATGCAAAAACTTGAAGACAAATTCGAGGAAGGCAACCAGCAGGTTATGGGCTTCTTCACGGTCCTTGGAGACAAGGTAAGGACGACATCTCAGTAGAAATACACTCTTTAGTAGTTAATTGTAAATTTATAATAATATTACAGTGCCGAACATAAATTAGGGTTTATGATTTAATTATAATTTACTGAGGCAAGCTTCCCCTGCTACGGCAGTAAACTGTTAGCTGACAACTAAGTTAGGGAGTTATAATTAAAAATTTGACAATTTTGTTGACCTGTGCTATTGAGAGGACATGAAGTTTCATTTTTGGCAGCTGATCAAAATAAATTTATTCATTTACAGAAAATTTGGCAGAGATAGTGAGATAACAGATTTCCAGTGCTATTAGTTCTTACTGGGAAAACAATATTACAGTCTTATTAGTGTTTTGTAAGATAACAATATGCAAGTCTCATTTGTTTACATGTATAATTATTATGCATTTTGAATTTTTTCATAATTAATAGGACGCTCTCGATGTTCAAATAATGGGACACAAATGGTGCTCCGTTTAATAATTGAACGATCCCGAGGCTCTATATAATAATTGGGCTCTCTCGGGGCTAAATGTACTGATGGGATATTTTTTTGCTCTTGATAATTGAAGGAAATGGTGCACTCTTTAATAAGGGATATTCTTTGGCTCTTAATAACGGAACGTAATTAAATGGTGCTTCAGATCAGCAAATGGAGCGACCAGCACGCCAACGAAGGCATCATCGACGACGGCTTCACTGGCGGCGATCAGCACGACGCCCGAACACAGCAACTCCAGGACCACTTCAAGCGAGAGGACTTCCCGGACTTCTTCCAAGTGAGAACTGGGCCTTGGTTTACTCATGGTTGATAATCGTCAATCACTGATATTCGCGTGCGAGTTGGTTCTTGATAAACCATTGCCAATGATATAAGTGCGAGAATTGGTCCTTGGTTAACCATTGCCAATGAAAGAAGTGCGAAAAATTGGTCCATTTTTCATTAATTGCCAATGATATTCGCACATAAAAGCCTAGTAACGGTAAACACTGAACTCTAACACCCGTAGTCTGTGATCACAATCGCCATGCTATATAAATGATAAAATGTGGGCAGTGCCTAAACATAAGCTAATCAACTGTTTATATTGAAGTCGAAGCGTGACAAGAGTGAAGACAAAAATTTAAAATAGCGAGTTGTTAAGAAGATAAAAATACCCAGAGCAGATAAGATAGAACTCGTGGCATTTTAAGATGTTCTAATGAGAGTAGAGCCGCAGGTCAACACGGAAACTAAAATGAATTTTATTTTAACAGGATTCGCAGGTACAAGGTGAAATAGAGAAGTTAGTAGACAGTGGCATCATCCAGCAAGAAGAAGCCGATCTTCTCGTCAAGAAGGGGCGACCATAATTAATTAAATCACTAATTCATCACCTCGTCAATTTGATTGAAATAAATGAAAACGAAAGTTCGGAACATCAAGGACATGTCAACGCGTTAGATTTGATTTTGATTCCGTCTTTTGAGAGCAGGTTAAAATCGTAATTTCTTAGACAAAATTTCACTTGAAACTAAATTATTTTATTTTATCTTATTAAAAAGTATGAATTTGGTGGAAAAAGAAGTTAATGCCTAACACAATTGATAAAAATTAATTAAAATTCTAAAATAGGATATTTCATCTACGTTAACATCAGAGCATACAAATGGTACAAACATATTACCAACGCACGGGAAGTCGTGAAAATTTTGTCTACTCAACTCAATCGTCTAATACAATTACAATTGATACTTGCTCCGGATTACTTACTCACCTAATAGTGCTCATATGATTATGCGGTTTATATTTTAATATAAAGTTCTTCATCTATAGTAAAATTGCAATCATTTTTAAGCTAATTTTAAAATTAACGACACCATAAAAATGTTAGCATTTGGAGGTAATATTTACATTCATGGGAGTAGAAGCAGTCTCCTGACATTGAATACATAAGATCTTGTGAAGAAATTCAAAACGTTGTCTTAAATATTTTAGTGATGAACCTAGGACTACTAAATGGTGAAATTCATCTAGATCAGCGTGACATCTGTTTTGTTCTACCACTGCTGCGGCGATATATAATAGATAATAAGATAATATAACCTTGACATGCATTACATGGCCTCGGTTATTCACCTTGGTTAGTGCGCGACCATCATGCCGTTGTAGAGCACCCAGAGGATGAGCAAGAGTACGATGAGTATAGCGTAGGTCACCACGATGGTGTGCTGCTCCGTGCCTTTCTGTATCATCGCTGAAGGATTGGCGAGGCTGAACCTTCGCTCCATTAAATTATTGAATATTGTTCGCGCCTAGAGTTACGCCTTAAATCTATGAGGTCATTTAAAAGTAATAATGACAAGTTACAGTTCATTTTTTCATTATATTTTAATGACAATGAATTGGGGATTTAGAGATTAATATTATTTTAGTGTCATTTTACAGTAACGACATGAAAATATGAATATGTTAATTGAACTAGTTCAAAATTAGGATCATTTTATGTTTATTCAAAATAACGTTTTTCGACTTAAAATCATTGGTCAATACTTTCGAGTGATTTCGCTCTCATTCATTAAATAATCGTGGTATATCAGTGACAGTAAATGTAAACGGGAAAATTCCATTACACGAAAAAAATATTTCCCAAAATTACTCATTTGTGCTACGATCGAAGTACTGAAATATTGAATTCAAGTTTTTTTTTGTCAGACATTCAGATTACTCAAATTCTGAAGGTCAAATGTCTTACAGTTCCAGGCATTAATAAAATGGTATAACTTTCGACTTAACTGCTTCGATTATCAAGCTCTAAATTAATAGCCCGGCGGTACGAGTTTACCAATTCGCATATCAATTCACAAAACGAATAAATTATAAATAAATAAATAAATTTATAAGTTTGAAAATATTTATAAAGTTATATATTTATAAGTTTGAAAACCACATAAAAAATTAAGGTCAAGAAGAGCGTTTACTCTTCTATTACGATAATTCGCATGTTCCAGCAGCTTGAAAAATCTTCTGCAATCTTGAAAAAATCTGCGAGAACTTGAGCAAAATTCCACCCCTAAGGATGGTCATCCCTCGAATAAGTTTAGTAAACATGAGTTTGAGCCCACCACAAACACAGCTCGACCTCCAAAAAAACTAGAACGTGACAAAATCGGTTTTGAAATAAGAGGGAAAAAGGACGCACCGACACAGAGGTCGAGGGCACCAAGACTGAGGGCAACCGGCCGCAGCGGGCGGCTCACACCCACCGCCCCACCCGCACCCTCAGCGGTGTTAAAGCCGCCGTCAACGAGTGGCCAGCCATACGATCTAGGAAACCATCTTTAGAGGCTGGGCAGATTAACCATTTTCTCAACAGTCAATATTTTTCCATCAAGAAGGCTAGTCACAAAAAGTTACCGTATATAGACAAGTAGATAAATTATAACCGCCGGAAATGCTATTCGCGCTTAGACACCAGGGGTAACTAACGCAACCGTAAGCAGAAAACGGTTGGAGTACACCTAATACCTGTTACCTTGCTTCAAGCTAAGCCCCTTCGACACCACAGTATAGAGTTTCTGTCAATGAATAGCCAACTGCATGCAATACTAATACTTGAATGCATTTTGTCATTTATATTTATCATTTAAAACACACAATTCGATTCTAAGTGATTTAACTGCAAAAGATCTATTTTAACATCATATTTACCAGTAGCATAGAATATTGTTTTTTTGCTCTCGCGTTTTTCACACGTTGATATTTTTCCGAATAACGTAGAAGCTCACGAATCGTATACAAGTATATAACTCGTAGCTCACGACGAACAAGTCGATAGGTAATGCAGTCAAAAGTGAGTTATTGAACACAAAATACGGAAACAATACCACTGATTGCTATTAAAAAACATTAGAAACAAGATGAAATCTCCGCTAAATTCAAAGCTCCAACAAGATTGCCAGCAGCTGAGCTCAAGAACGACATTTTAAGAGCGAAGTCCATCATACGAAAACAAATATATTTGACTTGTTAGAAAACTCCCGTCGTCAAGTCTCTTGCTCTCTTTCCGCAACTACATTGGACATTCTTGATCCATCAAGCAAGAATTATAATAATACTAGAAAGCTTTATTAGATATAAGAATTAACATGGAGCAAATAAATTTTACGTAAAAATTAATAACAAAGGTAGTCATTGTAATTCAATACAAGCGATTTTAACCGTTTCAAGAACACGTGGATGCAGATACAAAGTCTTCTAACCTAGCATATCATTTTTGAAAAGTAGATTTTGCACTTTATCTCTCACCATAATGAAATAACGAAGCAGTTGTTATCTGTGAATTTAACGATGTTTTTCGGTGTTAAGGAACTTTCAACAATACTGCATTGACATTCAGCGCACGAAAGCAGGACGAATTTTGAGCATCGCGCTGAGTGACAGCCAATCCGCTGAGTAAATAATCAGCAGGTGGCTTGTGTTTACAGCGCCTGAGCCTGTGCGAGGTACGAGTAGGTGTTGGTGCTAAGGTGGTAGGATCAAGTACGAGTAGGTCTGTGATGGCGCTAAGGCGGGGGTGTCAAGTACGAGTAGGTCGGTGATGGTGCTAAGGTGGGGGAGTCAAGTAAGAGTAGGTCGGTGATGGTGCTAAGGTGGGGGAGTCAAGTACGAGTAGGTCGGTGATGGTGCTAAGGTGGGGATGTCAAGTACGAGTAGGTCGGTGATGGTGCTAAGGCGGGGGAGTCAAGTACGAGTAGGTCGGTGATGGTGCTAAGGCGGGGGAGTCAAGTACGAGTAGGTCGGTGATGGTGCTAAGGTGGGGGAGTCAAGTACGAGTAGGTCGGTGATGGTGCCAAGGTGGTAGGGTCAAGTACGAGTAGGTCGGTGATGGTGTTAAGGCGGGGGAGTCAAGTACGAGTAGGTCGGTGATGGTGCTAAGGCGGGGGAGTCAAGTACGAGTAGGTCTTGGCGCTCAAACAGAAAGAATGATTCTGTGTTGTAAAGCGACTACTCGCTCAAACGCTCAAGATAAACACTCAAAGAAATGAGCGAGATCTTGTCCAAATAGCGATGAACATTTTGCTCTTCTGCGGGTCATCCTGACAAGTTTGGCGCGGCAAAGAGCGTATCGGAGTTTTATGCAAGATGATATTCGAGTTACGAACAAATTTACTGAAATATTTTTTCGGCAAAATAAATACATTTCACATATATCGATCAATATTCCAGCAAATGCATGCACAGACTACGGATCAAATTTTGAGATCACAGCCTTTGAGATAAATTCAAAAACTGAAGCAAAAAATTATTACAGATCAAAAAAGTATAATGCCAGTTGTCGGACTTTTCATCACATGAAGCGTCAGGTAAAGTGTATACCAAAGCTGTAATCATTGCAGTACGTCGTGCAAGGCGCGTGTTGTGAGACGCGCATCATGCGCTTGTCTCAGATGGACAGGAGTAAACTTTTCGATGCTCGCTCGCTGAGACGCGCGCGACCACCCGCGAGTTTTGAACACTCATAATCAGATGAATTTTTCATTGTGGGGAAAAATTATCTGTATTTAATCCCGACTCAACATCAAATTCCAATAACAAACCTAGTGATACGCAGAGCGATTATTTTGTCGCTTTCGTTTTTCCAATTTTCCCTTCCCCCTTTCTACGCACCTCTTGCTTCTTCCTAAATTTACTGGCGGCAAGGCAACAAAGGAATGCAAGAACAAATAAAAGGACAAATATCGCTTCTGAGGTTATATGAAAACGAATCTTTATTTATGGCATATAATTAAAGTGAATGTAAGATAGCCGCTACATGTTACGAGGTCACTGTTTTCATTAACAATACTATCAATTCAGAAGAGAAATTCAATACAGAGCGCATTTCTTGGAATATTTAATGACATGGAAATGAAGGATACGTTTCACGACTCTTTACGTACTTTGACTATATTTTGGGCCACAAGTGTAAGCATTATTGAAAGCCAGAAAATTATTGCCCTAGGTTATCACAAAAAAATAGAAATAGGATTCTTTCATTTAAACTGATATTATTTAGGAGATGAAGTTACATTGTTTCGTTCTCATAGAAACTAAGAAAAGAATAGCCGAGCCGAACATAATATTTTTCTCTACGAAGCTCTGCAGTGTAATTTGTATAATAGAGCTATAATTTGCAGATTTGTATAATGTGCAGCTATAATAAGAAATAACTATTTTTTACCGGATTAAATTACGTTCAAATAAATCGTACTACGGCTTGGCACTCAGCTCGTAATAAGCGACCCTCGTCAATATTCCAAAAATAGATCATTTATTCAGAATTGGACATGGATTGCAATACAAACCATGTTCTTCAGATTGTAAGTTCAATAATGGCGTCGCTTTCATGACGATAACCTCGTTATTCGCAGGCGATTCCAATAATTGGCGAGCCGTCGATCATGTTTCGCTCAAAAGCCTTCAAGTGAAGAAAACAAAAGCTCGAGTCCTCCTCTCAGCTACGCGGGAATGATTTGACGCCAATATAGCGAGCGGCCGATGATGCCTTTCATCAAAATTAACCAATGATATGTGAATTGGCGATATCTGAAATATATGGGTATTAACAACACTCATTGATGTAACGTAAACGTGATCAGAATGTTTTCAATATGAAACTTGTTACATCTTTGGCATGAGCTAATAAACAATTTAAGATTGACAAATTTACCGGTTCGGAACCTTTTTAAACTAAGGGCGGGCTTTGGAAGAAGAGACGAAAAACTGTATTATTGTTCCTACAAAACTCTTACCTTTACTACAATCGATTGAACAATCCCAATAAATTAGGCGCACGAGAGAATAAAAAATAAATACGTAGAAATTATTAGGTGAATAATATTTTAAGGCATTACAGAGTACAGCGGAATTTGCTTGTATTTCTAAAAATTACTTTTCCCTCTACGGCTCGAGTAGCCGACTCGAGAACTTACTTTACCATCGTGAGGAGAGAAGCTCAAGTATAACATTGGAGTCAGAAAAAACTAATTTCAATCTTAATTTAATTTTACAACAAACCGAAACCGATTTTAACTATAATCCCAATAATAAATTCTATTATTTATTTAGAAAGTGCTACGTTTTAACGTAACCGCAACGTTCAATATAACTTTTGCCTTTGCGCTATATACCAATGCATTATATTACCACTATATTATATACCAATGCATTAAAGCGAGTAGCAAACGCAGCAAGAAAATAGAGCGTAAGTACTTACGTTAACTTAGCGAGTTTTGAAAGCATGGCCCCAGGACCGTAAATTCCACGTAACATAACACGCCGCAATGTGATG